AATTTCTATTTTATGTGCATTTATTTTTAAATTACAGTGTAATCAGTTAAACATTTAATTTACCCTCTAACTTTCAGCAGCTGTACTTTCTGACTTTTACTTTAACGAACTGTCAATAATTAAATGTTGTGTCGCTGAATGTTTTAATCCACTGGTTTAATGTTCGGCGTGTGCAGTTGTTTAGTGTCGTTCTGTCCTCGCTGAGGTCGTTTAAGGTCGAGACTAAACAGAAGAACAGTTTAATGAAATAAAGATCGTTTCTCCACTCCGGCCTGTTTTCATCCTGACAATAACAAGAGGGTCGTGTTTGGGGGTTTCACGTTGTTCGGGGTCAGCGGTGTTTGTACGTCTCCGTCTTTGTTCGAATCCCGTCAAGTGTGAAAAACGGGGGCGGCCGGAGGCCCCGAGCCTCGCCTGTCTCTGCTCCACCAGATCAACAAGCACAACAAGAGGAGTCTCTGAGCCGGAGCCGCCGGAGGACCGCCGCTTCACGCCGAGCCCGCAGAGACACAAACCGGCCTGTGACGCCAAACTCATTCACACGTCGACACTTTCAGAAGGTCCGGAGAGGACGTGAGAGGAACAATCCTCACTTCCTGCAGAGAAGGGACTCATAAATGGATGTTAACGATGGTTCTGGACCCTGAAGAGCTCAGCGTCAGAACAAACACCTCCCTGAACAGGAACCAGCAGCTGGAAAATAGTCACCAGGTTCATTTCTCACGATGGAAATCAAGAAAACATAAAAACGTTCAGAAGCTTCAACATCCCCGAGTGAACCTGTAGACTTCTGGACTTTAGATGATTCTTTGGTCCAAACTTTGCATCTCATCTTCAAAAGGTTGGTGTAGATCTCCAGTCATCCTGGACACGAGAACCCAAAAGCTAGTCTCGCCAGTTCACAAACATGGACAAGTACAGCTGTGTCGATTCCAAGTTACTCAAACGAAACGTGTTTGAGAACCATCTGGAACGTTTCAAGACATTCTGGAAACTTCCTCAAATGTGTTCCCAGTGAGACGCCTGAAGTCGGCGTCTGTCTGAGACGGTTGGTGAACCGTGTTGGAAACGAGTCTTTAAAATGTCTCCAAACGTTTGTTCCTCAGTTTCTACGCCTCAGACTCGCAGTCGAGTCGCAAGAACTCGCAAGGAACTTTGAGGAACTTGAAGTCGACACCAACGTCTACGACTGTCTCAAGAGCTACATTTGGACTCCTGCAGGAGCTCTCCTTTGAAGAAACATCCGACAGCTATGAACGTCCAGGTCTAAAAAATACATCAAGTATAAGAAATAATTATAGAAAACCAGTCCAGATCTGCTGGTTTTCATTTCTGAAGAGTGCTCCAGTAGATTCAACCATGAATGTGATGAATAATACTCAATATGTCCGCCACGTTCCTCCATGTCCTCTCTAGATCTCCTCTTTGTCTTTTTCCTGGCAGCTGAAGTTCTAACATCCTTCTACCAATATACCCACTGTCCCTCCTCTGGACATGTCCACTGTCCCTCCTCTGGACATGTCCAAACCATCTCAGTGTGTCCTCTCTAACTTTATCTCCCAGTTGTTCAACCTGTGCTGTACCTCTGATGATCTCATCCCTAATCTTCTCCATCCTTGTCTCTCCTAAGGAGAACCTCAACATCTTCATTTCTGCTACTTCCAGTTCTGTCTCCTGTCTTTTTGTCCATGTCTCCGTCTCCAGACCATACAACATAGCTGGTCTCACCACTGTCTTGTAAACGTTTCCTTTGCTGCCACTCTTTTGTCACAAATCACTACTGCCTGGACGCTCTTCTTCACCTCTTTACCTCACTTCCTGTTTTCCTGGACAGTGGACCCCAAGTCCTTGAAGTCCTGCACCTTTGTGACCTCGACTCCTTGTAGCCTCAATGTTCCACCTGTCTCTCTCTCATTCATATGCATGGACTCTGTCTTACTAGGATGTCCTCTTCTTTCAATTCCACCTCTCCGAGCTCTCTTCCACCTGTTGGTGCTAAAGATAGCAAACACTAAACTTTGTTTATTTTACTGCAATTCTGAGTCACCAACCACTGAGCTGTAACTTTACATGTTATTGTTTCATTTGAAGGTGATTGGACTTCTCTTGTGCCAGATGAACTGACAAACTTATCCCTGTCCCTCCAGAGGGTCATTAGTGTTTTAAAAATTGCAAATCTGTATTTTTCAACTGCTCAGATGAGAAGCAGAATGTCTAAAATAAGCGTCTAAACCTTGAAAGACGAAGAGCTTCCTGTTTTCTTTGACAGGACGGACCGGCAACAGATGGCGGCGCTTCACGTTTCAGAGTAAAGATGGTGACTCACGAGTGTTTGGCTCCAAACGACTGAAATCTGAGCTCCAGGCACTGATTTTTACACAGTTCACCTTTAATGGCCCGACTGACGGGTTGTTTCTGCAGGTTGGAGACCAGACCTCCTCACTGTCTCAGTCAGGTTGGACCTTTTCCAAAGACTCAACAAACCGAAGCTTCTCTGAAGAATGTAAATACTGCTTCCTCTTTCAGGAGGACGAGGACGGACGTCCCTGCAGTCCGCAGAGACACAAAACTGTTTGTGTTCAGGATTCACCTTAAACCTTCCTGTTCGGGTCATTTGAGGGGAAGTCCAACCTCCAGGACCTCCACTGAAGGTGTATGTAAGTCAGGTTCTACCTGAAGTCAGAGGACAGTTTCTGCACCAAAACAAGTCCGACAAACAGAGGACGCCTAAACCAGTCCTGAACCGGTCCTGGTCCAGATTCAGTTCTTAATATTTCTCTCCAAGCAGCCAGACCTTCTTGTTCTTCAGGCGCGGTGGGGGGTTTGTTTTTCTGAACGTTGGCTGATTTTTCTCAGTTTTAGTCCAGATGAAGGCTTCTGTTTGTTTAAACCTCTTGACCTTTGACCTCTGAACCATTCAGACAGAAAAAAACCTCCTAAACTCGTGAGCCGAACCAGACTTCTGTCAACAAACACAAACACCCAACATGCATTTTCGGTCAACACTGAATCACTTCGCTTAAATTTACTCAAGGAGCTGAAAGCTAAAAGTTCAGAACATTAGCCAAAAGCTAGAATGACCAAAACACCAACTGGAAGCTGAAAGCAGTTAAACAGTAGCTAAAACCAACAAAACATTAGCAAAACGTTAAAAGCAGGAAAAGTTAGCTAACAAAAAAGCTAACAAACATATCTAAAGAATATTAAGCTCAAAAGACCAAAATAATAGCTAGAAGCTAAAGGTATAAAAAGATTAGTTAAAAGAGCTAGATAAGTCTCAAAAGACTAGTTAAAAGATGAAGGGACAAAAACAGTATCAAAATGCTAATACAAGTATTTAAAAAAACTAAATGCTAAAGGAACCACAAACATTGGCACAAAGCTAAAACTAACAAATCTGTTGCTAAAAGCAACAAAAATTTAGCTAAAAGCTAAGAATAGTAAAGTTAGTCCAAAGCAGCACAGAGCTACTTTAACACTGAAGGTATCAAAAGGTTAGCTAAGAGCAAATAGTAGCAAAAGATTAGCTAAAAGTATCAATGGGCTAATAAAAGTATCAAAAGACTAGCTGAAAGAACAAAAGCACTAGCTAGAAGCAAAGAGTAGCAAAACAGTAGCAAAAAGCTAAAAGTAGCAAACCTGTTGCTAAAAGTAACAAAAATCTAGCTACAAATAGAAAAAAATAAAGTTCAAAGCAGAATAGAGATACCTTAATGCTAAGGGTAACAAAAGGTTAGCTAAGAGCTAACTGTAGTAAAAGGTTAACAAAAAGTAGCAAAAATCTAACAACAGCTAAAAGTGGCAAAAGGCTAGGTCACAACAGCCTAGAGCTACCTCAATTCTAAAGTTATCAAAAGGTTAGCTAAAAGCTAAAAGTAGCATAAGAAGACAAACAGAACCAGCAGCTGAAGCAGATTTCAAAGAGACCAAAGTTTTTTTTTAATAAGGAACCAAAAAGATTTTTACGCCTTTTACAAGGTAAACAAATGTTGATAAAGTTAAATAGTTCCTAAACTATAAAAGTGACTTAAAGTTCAATAAAGTTCTATTTTGGCTTAAACCAAACGTCTCGGCGCTCGTCTCCTGAACCAGCTGAATGTTTTGATGCATGAACAGCTAAAATAGCACAAAGTGTGCTGAAGTAGTTCCAGTGGAAATAAAAACGAATGAAAGCTGAACACAAACACCATCAGCTGTTTTATAGCTAAACCCCAAAACAGCTCTCACTCCCTGACTTCTGCAGGCAACCATCAAACAGCTGAAGGACTTCTCAGGACTCTGATGGACCTCCTGCTGCTCTAAGGTCAAAACCACCTGAAGCCTCCTGGGCCAATTTGGCCCAAGGGCAGCAGGAGGGTTACAGAGATCCATGGTCCCTCAAAACCAGAACCGGACTCAACCTGGGTCAACAAGATCCAAAAAGAAACTTCAGACATCAAACAGAACTGAAGACCAGAACCTCTTCTGCAGAACCCAGGAGGGGGCGGCAGGGAAACACAAAGAGAACTGGATCTGGACCTCACCAAACTGGGCTCGAACATTGATGATGGACCCCAGCCCCTCCACCCCCACCGGCCTCGCCCCTCTCCCCCCTCCTCCCTGATACTGGAGCTCATCAGGATCTTTGGACCAGGCCCACCTCAGCTCACACAAACAAAAATCCCTGAAACTGAAACCTGCTGGTCCGGACTGAGTCCAGAGACCTGAGTCCGTGTGTGTGTGGAGGGGGGAAAGAGACAAAGCCCAAGAAACGGGTCCGGTCCGGACCCTGCAGCAGAGCAGGTCAGTTCGGACTCAGTGTCCCAGAACTAACTCCAGACCTGAGCTCAGAACCAGAATCTGGCTGAGACAGTGACCAAAACCAGGCCTGCATCCCCGGACCCCGTCCGGTCTGGATGGATGCGCCCGGGTCCTGCCCCCCCTCATGCGCATCCTCACGGAGAAAACAGACAGGAGGGACAGAGGGACACGGAGGGACAGGGGTCGGACGTAGGACTCACCAGTCGGTCTCCGAGGTCTCGTCGATGACGTCCTGGTACGCGGTCAGCAGGACCAGTCTGTTCTTGGAGAGATTCACGGCCATGTTTGTGTCCCTGCGAGCATCCAGACCGCTGCTGATGGAGAGAGACCCGGACTAAACCCGGAGAGGAGGACAGAGGAGGAGGAGGAGGAGGAAGAGGAGGAGGCAGAGGAGGAGGCTCCCAGACAAAGAGGCGAGGAGGAAGCGCTGATGGGTCCTAAAGCCGGATCAACAACTGACATTCAAAGATAAACTAAAATAGAAGTCATGGACTGAATAACATTCGGATAAAAAGTAAAAAGATAAAATAAAACCCTCAGAGGCTTTCCGAGACGTTGATGAGCCGCCATTACTGTTTTTTTTCTTTTAACAAGGAAGAAAAACAAACAAACCTCACTTCCGTGTTCTCAGAAAAAGCCACGCCCTCTTTTGGAAGAAACCAAATTATGTAAAAGTGGTGTCCTATCTACAGGTGCCGGATTTTTTTTCCCGTGCGCCTTTGTAATTGTTTTACTCTGATTTATTATTTACAAAAGTAAGATTTTAAAAACTTCTGATTGATTTTTAAATAGTACTATTTTTTGACCAAAGAAAATTATCTGAACAACTTGCATCTTAAAAGATGTTAGTTAGCATTATGTGTAGTGATGCAATTAATTTTTTTACTGGGCAGATAAAAAAAAAAAAAAACAATATGAAAGGAGAATGTGACAAGTGTGAGAAATATATCTCCAGGAAATTTCCTAAATATCAGTATATGAAACTGGCAAAGTGGGTAGCTGTAATTAGCTGTGGTTTTATATAACTGTTTTTTGCTTTGACAGACTTACAATATTAGGACACAAAAGCTTCAAAGAAACACTGTGGTCTTTTTTAAATTTATTTTAAAGCAAACACCTCAACATTTGTATTACTGCCCTGTTCAAAGTTGTTTTTACACCAAAAAAGGGTGGGAACGTTGTGCAGAAGCTATAATGTGTTGTTCTGATCTCCAAGCAGATTTAATGCCGGTCTTAAAAAACATTATTAGATTGAAACCAACAGTTATTTACTAAAATGTATGAATAATAAAAGCTTTAATATCATGAAACAAATTTATTTGTTTAGGTTTAGTCAGCACAACCTCCTGGTTTTGTATAAGGATTAAACAGAAATTGAAATACAGCCGATTCCCAGCAAAGTTGCAGTTTAGAGTTTGTGGCCTCAGTTTATTTATTTTTTGCATAGATGGACCAGTAAACTTTTTTTTTCTTAAAACCTAATAATTGTTAGCAGAAACCACTGCAATTTCACAAAAACTGCAAATATCCTCATATTTTTTTGTGGAAATATATATATATATATATATTTTTTTTTTTTCATGGGTTTCTAAAATATTAAGAACAGTGTAATTTACTAATTTCATAACATAAAAAAACAAAGTGCCAGGCACCAAAAGGAGCTGTGAATCTTTGCTGTGCAGTCATTATCCTCTTTACGTAACTTCACTGTACTGCAAAGCTAATTCATCATCAACATTAATGATGATGAATTATAATAATTGTAATAATTATTATATTTATTACATTAAACCCCCCCCCCCCCCCCAAAAAAAAAAAAAGAGTTAAGGAGCCGAGCATATTTAGGGATTAAACAATAAAAATGGGCATTAAAGGTCTTTCTTTGATCCATTCCAAAATTGCATTTTTTTTTCACCTTTAGCGCATGCTCTATGAAAAAGATCTCCCAATTTTCAGGAGTTGAGTGCATAACAATAAGAGGTAAAATGCATAATTGGTGCAGCATGGTGGCACAGTGGGTAGAGCTGCCGCCTCTCAGCAAGAAGGTTGCCAGATCGAATCATGGCTGCGGACCTTTCTGGGTGGAGTTTGCATGTTCGCTCCGTGCATGTGTGGGTTGTCTCTGGGTACTCCGGTTTCCTCCCACAGACCAAAAACATACAGGTTAGTCTGACTGGTAACTCTAAATTGTCTCTGGGTGTGAGTGAATAGTTGTTTGTCTCTATGTGTCCCTGTAATGGACTGGAGTCCTGTCCAGGAGTCCCGTCCAGGAGTCCCCCACCACTCGCACAGTGACTGCTGGATATGGACACCAGTGACCCCTGCAACCCAATGAGTAGCGGGTTAAGATAATGGATGGATGTACAATCAGTACATAAGATATCAAGGAAAAGTCTTTTTGCTAAAAAGAAACAAGAGCAGTCTTTATTTCTACAGAGGCCTAATTCTTTGGGACTTTTAGCCTCGATTTGCAGATTAGAACGCACAGATTCTTTAAGTGGTATTTATTTTGAGAAGCTGTAGGCAGAGTCTGTGTGATCTCCACGACTCAGCCCTGACAGGCTAATTCGTCCAGTCAAAGCCTCCATTAAGAAAATGCAGTTTAGTGTCAGCTCGCTCTGCAGGATGGGATCTCATTTAGAGATTTGCACTCAGAGTCCGCTCCTTTTTGTGCCACTGCTTTACTCCAGCACAAAGAAGAAATGCACGTTTGATGTTCAGAACCACTTCTGCCTCTGACTTACTCATGTCCCCATTAAGAATCACCAGTTTGAAGCAACATTTCTGGACATATAAACACACAGACATGTATTATTATTTCACCGTGTCTGTTTTCTGTCAGCATACCGAGGTGCTCTGAGGACTACACAATGGGAATCATGTTACAAGCAGTCGACTTATGGTTGGTAGATTTAAAAAAAGGCTTATCATAGAGACCAGAGAGAACAGTAAAGATAATATCTTTAAGTGAAATAAAACTGACCACTGTTTCTCATCCAGGACATGGTCATCCTATAGCGAGCTAAATCGAAAGAGACTTATTTTTCAAGGACTCAGTGTTCTTTATTTGTCATTCACACCACACGTGGTACATGTGGTGTACACAGGGTCCCAGTTACATCCAACAAAAGTATCAAATGTAAAAGAAAAACAGTAATAAGATCTAAGATATGAACTAAGAAAAACGTTAACTAAAAGTACGCTAAGCACTAGTAGTACAAAAACAATACGTCCAACAGCAGCACGAGTCTGTGTGAGCAGATGAGCACGCATGAACACATCAACATGAAATAGATCAGCAGCAACATGAAACAGATCAGCAGCAACATGATGTGATTTTTCATAGTGATTATTCTGGTTAGATATTCATGAGTCTAACAGCCTCAGGGTAGAAGCTGTTCCTCAGTCTAGTGGTTCTACACTTAATGCTCCTCAACCTCCTTCCTTAGGGGAGCGGTGAAAAAAAGTGTGTGTGCTGGGTGAGTGGGGTCCTTCATGATGCAGGTGGCCCTCTTCCTGCATCTGGAGGTGTAGATGTCTGTGATGGTGGGGAGACTGACTCCAACATCTTCTGTGCAGCCTTCACCACTCTCTGCAAAGCTTTTCTTTCTGCAGCTGTGCAGCCTCCATGCCACACGTTGATGCTGGAGCACAGGATGCTCTCCACTGCACACCTGTAGAAGGAGGTGAGGACTGAGCCTCCTAGACCAGCTCGCCTCAGCCGTCTGAGGAAGTAGAGTCTCTGATGAGCTTTCTTCATCAGGCTGGTGGTGTTGTTGCTCCAGCTGAGGTTGTTGTTCATGTGTACACCCAAGTACTTGTAGCTGGAGACCACTTCCACTGCAGATCCTCCTATGTTCGGGGGGTGGGTGCATGTTAGACTGACTGGTAACTCTAAATTGTCCCTAGGTGTGAGTGAATGGTTGTCTCAATGTGTCCCTGTGATGGACTGGAGACCTGTCCAGGTGTCCACCTCTTGCACAGCGACTGCTGGATATGGGCACCAGTGATCCGATGGATGAAAGAGAAAACTTAAAATCATACTGTATTGATTTCCCAGCTGGTATTAAAATTAATTTGCTAGCGTGCAGGAAAAGTAGCAAAACTTTGGTGCCATTCTGCTCAAAATCATTGTAACTTGGTGGCACTACTCAGAAAAGAGCTTCAAAGCATCTTTAGAATTATATTTTGATCATAGATATTGATAGATAAGGTATTTAATCATGATATTTCGACAAACACAATCTCAAAATCTAAAACCAGAGTTGCCTATACCTCAGTAGACTGTTGCGACGTAATAGTTGGATGTGACGGCTCGTGCATATCACGTCTTATCCTGACGAGTGTTCTCAACTAAACAAGCCACAAATCTCCAAGAATTAAAAACGTCCAAATTACTTTGATTCATCTTGAAATGATTTAAACCAGACCGTCCAAAGCAAAACTTTCTTACACCACTGACAGAAACGAGCAGAATAGTTAGCTCCACTGGTGTGTTGTAAGAGACGGTCAGTTTTTGGCTAACGTGAAATCATTTAAATCAGTCTGTACAGTATCTTTTCAATATGGGTCTCTGATATTGTGACACCACAGTGACCCTGAACCACGACAACAAGTGTTTCAGACCTCTGAAAGCCCGATGAGGACAAACAATTTGGAGGAGTAAATGAGACAAGATGATGGATAACGATTTAAATTAAAAGTTAGGTATAAGGAGTTTCAGCTGCTAAATATTAGTTTTTAATTTGTACTGATCAAAGAGCCCACCAGCATCACCTTCCCTCCTCTTTTAGCCTCTGGGCCCCGAAAGCCAGGGGAAGTTATGTGGGCTCAGCGCCAGCCGCCGGAGCCCGAGACAAACACTGGGGATAACGCCGTGGCGGTCCAGTTACCGCGGCAACCACCAGCCAGGAAAAAAAACTAAATGTCAACTTTTCTGGGAAACGAGGCGAAAAGAACTTCATTTTCAGTCCATCGCTTACAAGGCTCACAAAAGCCGGACTATAAAGAGCTTGAAGAGGAATTCCTGGACCATTAGGTCATTGGAGATCTTTATTTATTCCACTAAATAGATTAAATTTGGCATCCTCTTCATGTACCTTAAAATTCACATTTTAGGCTTTTTGAGGGTTTTACAAAATAGTAAAAAAATTGAAACGGAAACCAATAAGTGTTTGTCCTTACATCTTGTATCCAAGGAGCTTTAATTACCCACAATGCAACGCGAGTGCGGCTTGGTCTCAGATGTTTTAGTGCAGTTTTGTAAGATTAACTTCTGAACTGTTACGACTGTAGAACATGTTTTTATTTGTTGATCTTTTCCTGTAGAGAAGTCTGAGCAACTGATTATCCGTGCTGCTGATTTTTTGCCTCGAAGCTGTTGT